TGGGTCCGCCACCGTAACCAACTACGGCCACACAACGGAGCACAACCGAAGACACACGAAGATTACCTAAACCTCGGTGTGCTACTCGACACCTTCGAACTGCAATCGTCAGAAAACTAAGGACTAACAACTGACCGAGACCTGTTATCTCGGCGGTGGAGCGACCGATACAACAGTTATTAAGGAATCCGATGACACACTGATCCATATTCAGTAACGCCGTCTTGATGGATGATCTGAACAATTCAAGGCTCAGTTCAACTATCCCCCAACGACATCTGATCTTTCACCCTCCATCTTGACTGGGCAAATACTGTCAGTTGATGCCAGTCCTCCGTCTGAAATGGAGGTTTCCCGGGAAATAAATTATCTCAAACGGCATGAGCCTTCCAGGCCCGAAGGACTGTCCCATCGGTTTTTGAGGATGGACGTTCAACCTTGGTTTTGGAAGTAACAAAACTCCTGGGCTCAGTGTAGGAGAGGGAAGAGGTTACAACTAAATGGTGTGAATCAGTGATCGTACCGATTCACAAGAAAAGCCAGAGATCTTCTTGTGAAAACCACAGAAGAATTAGTTTAATCAATATTGCCTCTAAACTTCTCGCCGGGATAATACTGCGTCGACTGTTCCTGCACGTGAACGTTACGCATGAGAACCAGGCTGATTTTAGACCCGACCGAGGTTGTATCTTCCACATCTTCATTCTCCGCCAAATTCTGGAGCACCGACATTCTTTTCGTAAACCCATTATCTGTCTTTCTCGACCTGAAAGCGGCTTTCGACTCAGTCGACCGCTCTAAACTCTGGCGCTGCCTTTCCCTGAAAGGTATGCCCTAGAAGTTTATTTCAATATTACGATCTCTCTATACTTATAGCCGAAGTCGAGTCCGAGCTTACGGCACGTTTCGCCCGAGTTCACCACAGAAAGCGGCGTTCGTCAGGGTTGCCCTCTTCCTTTCCATTTCCCTTTGTTATAGATCTGATTATGGGAACAGCCCTATCCTCTTGCGAGGATAGTGGCATCCATTTACTCCCAGGTGGTAGACTGTCTGCTCTAGAGTATGCAAACGACACTGTGCTGCTAAGTGAAGATCCAGGTAAGTTACAAGCTTTTCTGGATAGTTTGTGTGCAAGCGTGTCCATGTTTGGTATGCGCTTTGCACCTTCAAAGTGTAAAATGCTACTACAAGACTGGGTTGGTCCGGCACCGAGCCTCACTCTGACTGGAGAAATAATAGAGCAGGTGGATAATTTTTGTTATCTGGGCCGCTCCATCTCATCCGGTGGACGCCTCACAGATGAAGTGTCAGCTCGCATACAGAAGGCTCGGTTGGCATTTGCCAACTTGAGACATCTGTGGTGCCGTCGCGACATTCGGTTGTTTGTGAAGGGTNGAGTATATGCTGCAGCAGTTCGGCCAGTTGTGCTATATGGAGCAGAAACTTGACCATTACGGGAACAGGATAAAAATAGACTGTCGGTGTTCAAACACTGCTGTCTACGCAGCATTGCACGAGTCTGGTGGGGCAGCCGGACGGGCAATGCTGAGGTCAGGCGAAAATTTTTGGGCAATCGCGGTCGTCCACTGGAACAGGTAGTCGACCTCCATAGATTACGCTGGTTGGGACATGTGCTACGCATGTCAGCAGATAGGTTGCCACGGCGAGCGATGCTTGGCGAGACAGGTAGTGGATGGAAGAAAGTCAAGGGGGCCAAGCTTAGACCTGGCACGAGGTTATGAAATTTCTGATCAAGAGTCTGGTCACATAGGTCCCGTTATGCTACTTGGCTGGGGACCTCGGAATGATTGTACCGATGGTTAGAGACACTGAGTGATATGGCTGGGTGTCGCAAACAGTGGAGTTGCATTTGGCATTTTCTCAATTTCTTTGCAAACTTAGACCACTGATCTTCTTCCTTTTTTGTTCGACTCTACCTTCAACTTTTCTTTCTCTTCCTATTCTTCATCCAAATGAGCAGCCAAAGACAGCAAACAAAACCGACGCACGATAGTGCATGGTTAATGGTTGTACAAACTGAATTGAACTGAACCAATCAATTACTAGTATTGTGAAGGCACGAGCGCAGTCATTATAAATTGTGTGTGAGCCGTGTGCATGTCTCACTGAAGAACCTTTTGGTTCATGGCTATTTTTTGCATTTTCTATGTCTCGCAAATTGCTTGGAAGCGCTTCCGCGTAAAGCCCACTGTCGGAGTGTCGTACCTGTGCATTGAAGAGCGTCGGTGAGTAGCCAGGGATTGTGCACCCGTTAGGTACGACGCCAGTGGTAGAATAAATCGGCCTGTTTCTCGGAATTTATCTCCAGCCAGTGTGCTCGGAATGGATTCGGAACTGGAGTCGGTCCTGCTTACTACATCAACCAACTGTAAATTTTTAATTAATTTGTAACTGTAGGTATAAACTCGGGTTTTCTGAAATATGATTACTCAAAGAATTTCGGCGATACCGGTACAGGAATAATCGAAATTTAAAATGAATCTACTGTAATAACACGAACAGCACGAATTGCGGACGTTTATTATGGGGATGGTGTTGGTGATTAGGCAGTTAGCTTCCCCGGCGTATTTCCGGATCGGGGTTCAAAATACACCATCGCAATCAAACATTGGTGGTTGGTTTCTACGCTGTCTACCGGGGCAATATCACGCCATTTTTAGAGGGAAATTATTGGGTTTACCACTTCAGATTCTGGAACTTTGGTTGTCGATCCCAATAAGTGAACATGAGGTTATCATGACCATGGAGATTAACATTCCGCCGTTAATCACACAATATTGTGAAATAAAAATATTTTCACTGCAACAATACATGCATCAACAGCGGAGCATCTCACACTGACCGTTCGAACACAGACAGGTGGGCACAACGTACCGAGAACTCCGTACCCCAAGAGCAACCAGGTCGCATCAAGCTGTTCATTAATGCGGGTCCACTGACCAGAAAGTGTCCCGTGACGAGCAATAACCAGTGTAGATCTTCGTACAGATCGACCGTTCCCTGATCTGGGGCTTGGTTGTGCAATCGGACCAATCGATCCACGCGTTCATCGATAAGGCGAAGTAGTAGATCACAAGATTGTTTTGGATTTGCAAGACCACATGCTCCCGCGGCGAACAGACTATCCTACAAGGCAAAGACAAGTCCGGATTGGGGGGGGATGAAACAATTTTGAGTGAAAGTCAAGCATCAGTCATGTGAAAAAAAACTGCTGGAAGTTATTGAATTTCCTGTCGTGAGCTTTAACATTCTTCTAAACTATTAACTGAAACCAGCCTCCTTCTAACAAGCATCGACGTAAGACGTAAACTAATGATTACACAGCATGGTGGATAAGCCTTTTCGTGCGAGAAATATCTGTTCCGCGGTCCGGTGTGAGATCTTTTGTCATGGGCATCCTATCTGAGGCGAATGTATCCACAGTCTACAACGTCGGCACGGGCGAACCAATTCCACCAACAATTCCGTTCCCCATCGAAATCATCATTATCCCTCGATGTAGAGCTCCATGGTCTGTGGACATTTCATCGCTTACAGAGGAAGAAGTCTCCCGGGAGCTCAGACCTCTGAAACGCCACAAATCGCCCGACCCAGATGAGCTCCCACCGACCCTTTTCAAAGACGGTGGTGCAAGCTTTATCCGAGGGCTAACTTCCTTATTCCAAACCGTCTGGAATACTGAATCCATTCCATCCGAATGGAGTTTAGCAGACGTTGTACCTGTTTTCAAGAAAGGCCGCCGGCACGATTGATCCAATCACCGAGGAATTAGTCCCATCCAAGATGTTACCGTCCTTGATCCTACGCAGGCCCAGTTGGGCGAGAGAGCGTCATATCTGCGAAGAACAAGCTGGATTCCACCCTGGCTGGAGCAGCGTTGATCACATATTTACGCTACGCCAGATCCTCGAGCAACGTCAAACGTTCAGTAGACCGACCATCATTGTGTTTTTGGACATACATGCTGCGTTTGACTCAGTTGACAGAGCAGCTCTTTGGACTTGTCTGTTAGGGAGCGGTGTGCCTGAGAAGTATATAAACCTTCTAAAAGCCGTCTACTCAAACACATCAGGCCGCGTCAATGTCTATGATCGCATCTCCCCGTCATCAACCATCACAAGCGGAGTTCGATAAGGGTGCCCAGCTTCGCCCTTCCTCTTTAATTTCGCAATGGACAAAATCCTAAGCAGCGCTCTAGAAAACTGCAGCGCTTACGGTGTGGAGGTCCTCCAAGGTGATCGACTCCGTGACTCGGAATATGCTGACGACATCGTTTTACTCTGCGACTCCTCCCAGGACGCTTAAAACGTCCTGTGTACGTTAGCATTGCCCGTCACGCAGTTTAGTATGAAATTTTCTCCATCGAAATGTAAGGTTTTACTACAAAACTGGCAAGAGGCTACACCTGTCCTCACGCTCATTAACAATCAATTGGAAATCGTCGATCATTTTACTTATCTCAGGAGTTGTTTTAGCTGAAGAGGACTGACGGAAGAATTATCGGTGAGTCTCCACAAGGCTTGAGCGTTTTTCGCCAACTTACGTTAATTGTGGCGCCGACGCGATCTCCGTGTCTTTGAAACGTCGCGTTTGCAATGTCACTGTCTTACTCTACGGCTGAGAGAGTTGGCCTCTCGACGTCGAAGACGTACGGAGACTAAGTGTCTTTGACCACCGTTGCCTTGTTTGCATCGTCAGAATACGCTGGCAAAAGAGAATCACGAACGACGAGGTCCGCCGAAGAATCTTCGCCGCAGACAATCTCAGTCGTCCTCTGAGAGCCACCATCTCACTCCAGAGACTTCGATGGCTAGGACATTTGTTGCGGATTCCGGCTCAACCGCTGTCCCATCGTGTTATGTTTGCGCAAGCAGACACTAACTGGAAGCGGCCACAAGGTGGACAATGAATAACCTGGGCTAGAACAACGAAGGCGTTAACCTCAAAGCTAGCGGTGGTAGGACGATCTAGACTCCCGGGTTGGAGTCCCAAGGACAGGGAACACCTATCGCTTGAGACATTGGTAACCAGCGTTAATGGGGCAGTTGCTGCGAAACTTTAATTCATTGATTTTTATCTAAACCGTTTTCACATCTCTTTCTTCATATGTTGTGGCACATCTGCCAATTCTATGTAATTTGTTACGTGCATAATACATAATAATAATAAGTAGTATGTGAATGACTCAAGAAAAAATCCCCGGAAGCATAGGACCGATTTAGGTATGAATGAATTGAAAAGAGACTGCCGGATACGCATGTCTAACTAGCGGCAGGGACCGCGAAACCGGTCGTGCTCCTCCAAGGGGATTTCGTTTAGTCATTCTACTTACTACTACATACTACTTATTATGAAAAATTCTGTAAAGACAATCAATTCACGTTTGTTGCGGTGAGCAACATCTAACCCGCCTACATAATATGGAATCATAGCATTGATTCTTCAATGGACTGGCTCTGAAAGAACTGTATATCCGGTGTTGCAAACAAGGTTATTGTGAGGTATA